TCACGCGTGGTTGTATTTTTAACGGTCACCAACTCGTTGCATGGCGTTTAATATTGCATTCGTTTTCATGCGTGAAGTTTTTAACGATGCTTCTTGCGTTTTTTCATTTTTAACGAGCTATATCGTGTTAACTATCATGGAAAGCTAGGTTCGTTTACACGCGTGAAGATATTTAACGATGTTTCTTGCGTGCTTTTATTTTTAACGAGCTTCATCGTGATAACTATCGTTAAACATTGCATTCGTTTTCGCACGTAGAGTTTTTTAATTTTCCTACTTGAATTATAAAATGATTTACAAGCGCTTAGAACTTATACATATTCCTGTGCTGTTCACTTTAAATTTATTCCGATTTGGTTCCTATGACAGAATAGATCCATATAAAAGTAAAAACAGTTAATTGTTTTTTGTGATAGCTTTTAGGTAAGAAAGAATTAACTATAAAAGTACAGAAAATAGGATGACAAACATTTAGTAACAGCATAAGCATAGCTGTACAGTTGAGTGAACGTACAAATTTTTCTAAAAGCTCAAAAAACTTTTTATGTAGCTGGACTTGAAACTTTTCATGGTTCTTTATTATCGAGTTAAACTAAGTTGCCTATTTTGCTCATAGAATTCACATCTAATATGAGAAACGTTACTTGTTCATCTTCAATAAATGCTTAAGCTGATGTATACGTTACTGCTCAGAATTTTTTATACATTGCTATTGATCGCAAATGTGATGAGCTTTCTCCAATGGTCGATATCTTCCAAAGTTTTATTCGTCCAGAAATAAAATTTAGCAAGATATTAATTGTTGAGGAAAGTTCATCACACTTGCGATCAATAACAATGTATAAAAAATTCTGAACAGTAACGTATGCATCAGCTTGAGTATTTATCGAGGAAAAACGCGTTAAACGATCTATTTTTAACGCAGAAAGACGTGTTAAACGGTCTTATTTTTAACGCAGAAAGACACGTTAAACGATCCTTTCTTTAACGAAAGAAAACGAGTTAAATTTTCGCGCATTTAACGCGTTTTTAGGGTCAGAAAGGTAACATTAAATTTTGTTAAATCGTTAAATTTTTAACGAATTTTCACGTCACAAAACTTCGTTAAATTGCAAAAAATTTTTACATGGGTTCGGTCACATATGAGAAATGAATTATCAACTGTCAAATATACATATACATATATATATATATATGAGTGAATTGCGACATTATTTTACCGTATTGAGAAGGAAATGAACGAAAAAAAATGCGGTTTGAAAGATGGTAAGTAAGCGTTTTACTATACAGCATGAAGCGAGAAAACAAATAAATTTTTCCGACTAACACTTTTAGTATGATCGAGATATATAAGAATAAGGGTGTGGGTGTGAGCGTTGAGTGTTAACGTTGTTATGAACCACATCCACACTCATACCCACACCCACACCCTTACTCACACCGGTTCCGAAAAATATTTTTGTTCTATATGAAGAAAAATCACAAAGTGTTATGCTCACTGATGAGTTCCTTGACTTTGTGCTGTTAACTTTGTCCTCTCTTTCTCACTCAGTCCCATGTGTTCTGTTTTACGGCTTCGGAATGCTTCCCCGTTATATTTCGCTGAGCCCTTGATCAAATAGTCACTGGATGATTAGTTTAGCACCAAAAATGGGAAAATTTCTTTTATAAAAAGAGTGAACAATATAAAACGTGGAAGCTTATATCATCTGGCTCAGTTATGCTGAATCGTTTAGAAACAAAAACAATTACCAAAATTACCAGAATCAATCGAAGTTCAATAGAACAGGTTGTTTTTTATATCACACTATTTATTTTAAGTAGCTCTATTTTGATACCCTTTCTTTATAATAAAATACAAATTTTATACAAGAAAATCTTGTTTCTTTTTATTTTTCTAGTCGGAAAAATTTTTTGAAAAAAAATATTTAACGTTTGAAGAAATTTTCCTTTTTTACGGCATATTCTGCAGCTCTGATCCGAGCGTTGAAGCAGTTTATTATAATATGGCAGATGTGTATTATAAAATTGGTTATAGTGATAAAGCGATGAATTATTTTGACAAAACATTTAAAGTACGATTAAAATCTCTTCCAGTCGATTATAAAAATCTTGCGATTATTTTTAATGGTATCAAAGCGATTTATTTTACGAAAGAAAATTATGAAGAAGCATTTCGAAGTTGTGGAACAAAAAAGCAGTTCAAATACAACTTAAATCTTTGCCTAATAATCATTCAGATTAGAGCTGTTTAAACAAGTATGAATAAGAATTGACTTATTTTCAAACATCTCTGGCGATCATGTTGACAATTTTCCAAGACAATCATTCAGATCTCAAACAATTTTATGCAAATATTGGGAAAAGTTATTTCAAAGCTATAAATTATGAAGACGTCATTAAAAGCTATGAAAAGCTCTTAAAATTCAATTGAAAATTGCGTCGTCGAAAAATAATGAAATAGCTAAATTATGCATCAGTATAGGGCTACCTCTCAAAAAAAACAAAGTCAATATGAAGAGTCAATAAAAAAAAAAACCTCAAAATGTTATTAAAAATTGAATCAAAGTTATAAAATAAACTCGAAATGGCAACGATCTTTTCTTATATAGGAGAGAATTATGACAAACAAAGTAAGTACGAAAAATCAAAAAAAGAACTACGAAAAAACCATTGAAACTCAATCAAATATATTATCATTGAACAACGTCAGTCTAGAAATTGAATATTGCAATATGAGATTAACATATGAAAGTGAAAAAAATTATCAAAAAACATTAGATAGTTTTAAAATAGCGTTCTAAATGTAAATGAAATGTTCAGAATCTGTTCATCCAAATCTAATCAATATTTATCATAGCATTTAGTAGTATGTATTGTGAGCTTAATGTATATAATGATGCACTAAATATTTTTACTAAAATTCTTGAAATTCAAACAAAATTTTTACCAATGATCTCTGCCGAGTATGCAAAACGTTCATTAATATTGCTATTGTATATTCCAAACAAGGCTATTTCACAAACACTTTAATTAACTGTGATAAAGCATTAGAAATTCAATGAAAATGTCCTAGTTTAGAATCTGAGAATCTTGCATTATCGTACAATAATATCGCAGGCATTCATTTAAGACAATATGAATATGAGTTAGTCTTATTTAATGCAAATAATGCTCTTCAATATTGTGCAAAAAATTCACAAGTAACTTACACCTATCTACGACATATAGAGTGTCCGAAAAGTCACTAAAGTTAGAAAAATTTGAATATCTTCATTATGGCTCTAGCAAACCAGCTGATCTTTTACCGAAGATAGAGGTATGTTGACATTCCAAATCTATACGGACAAGGTTAGAGAGAAGCTTTGTTAAGAATATTGTTTTTTTTTTCCTATCTGTGAAAAAGTAAAATTTTCTTATTAAGGCCAATAGTGATACTTAACAAAGGTTCTCCATAACTTTGTTCGTATGCATTTGGAGTGTGAGCATATCTCTATCTTTGGTAAAAAAAATGAGTCCCTTTGGTCGAGCCGTAATGAAGATATTCAAATTTTTCTAACTTTAATGACTTTTCGGACACCCTATATAAGCCGAGTTATTTTTGACACAAAATAAATCACACGAAGCCTATTGATTGTTACTCAAAAAAGATTGAAATAATGAAAGCAACTCAACATCGAAATCATTTCGAATACGCCAAGAGTTATAATAATTTACCGATGATTTATTTTCGATTATTCGAATATGATTTAGCTTTAGCTAATTTTCAACAAACATTAGATGTCGAAGAAGTATCACATCTGTCTAATCATCCTGATTTTTCTATAACATACAATAGCTTAAGCATTAAAACAATATCACAAAGAACTTGAAATTTATTTAGGATCATCGAACACAAATTATGCAGAGTTAGTAACGACCTATCAGAATCTAATTGAAATGTATTTTAATTTGAATAACTATGGTGATGCATTGAATATTCACATCCACACTCGCACCAAGTTTCGTTGATTCGAGTTCTGTTCGGATCGATTCAACTTTGGTTTCTGGTGCATCATATATTTTTACGAATTTCTTTGAAAATTCTGACAATGTTTAAGAATATGCATTAAATAATCTGCTATAATTATAAGCATTAGAAGCAATGTTTTTATTGAAGTTTATATTTGATATTCATGATATTGTTATAACGAAGATAAGTGTTTAATACAAACTATATCGTCACTGATGTTAAATATTTTCCAATTTTTTTTTGTTTTTGTCAAACTGATATACTCTTATCATGTTTTTGTGTAGTAGAAAATAAAAGAAATACATATGCCATATTTTCATCTGGATGATCATAGTTTACTTCCTGATATTTTTGCTCTATTGTATCTTTCTATCACCGCGCATTCTTTTTCTATCTTCTACTGTATGGCAAATAGACTTTTTCCGTTCTACTTATCATCTGAATTTCTGCTTTCTCTCTCGCATAATGTTTGTGTTGAACTTTTTCCATCTTGTTTATCATTATGAACTGTTCTCTTGTATCCATTCTTATATATTGAGTGTAGTTTTGGAATAAATGATATTCGATCATTCATTTATCTTTTTTAACTTTCAAAGTTAGTCACCTAAGAAATTTTCATTATTTCACAGTTGAATTCATCGACAGTAAAAATAAATCTGTAAAAATATTTCTAGAACGAAGTCGTACTTTTAATTTCTTTTGTTTTTTTGCTCTACGAACGGAAGAAAGCAAGAAGGATCACAATTAAGACGACTGTTAGTGATCGAAATTTCTCCAATGATAGAAAAGAAATACTTCCGACCTCTTTTTTTTTTCCTCGCTAGAATCAATGTGAATCGAACAATCTCTTATATTTTGCGTATAAATGAATCATTTGAATGTTTCTCTGTGTGATTAAATTATTTCGTTGTTATAATTGATGATAGCGAGTGAATGAGTGGGTGACTTTATTCTTATAGAAAGATCTGATTAAAAATATAACATTATAATGTCAATTAAAACTTTTCATTGGTTTTTACTCATTTTATTTTTCATTCTTAATGGTTGTATTCAAGGTAAGACTATTTTTATTATTTTAATATTCTTTGAATTTATTTTAATTTCATCTCGAAGGAGAAAACTCAATCGATATAAACACCATATCAACAACTGTATCAGTAAATTCAGATATATTATGTCCTGGAGGTCATATTAATCCTCCTAATTGTACACAATGTTCATCAAAATATGAAAGTAAAGATGAAAAATGTGTTCAGATAAAAAGTAAGTTTAATTAGAAAATAAAGATTCGAATTATTTGTTATATTGTTTAGATGAATTACAACCATCACGTAATACACGCCGTCGTACATGGTTAATTATTCTTATTTGTCTATTATCGGTATTTGGAATTCTTGCTATGCCTATTGTTTATATTCGTTTAAAAAAACAACATAATCATCGTTTAACATCAAATCAAGAAAATAATCCAAATTTATCAACTAATAATACAAATAGTAGTAATCGTTTTAATAATATATTACGATTAATTGGTTTAAATAATCCTAATAAACGTGGACGATTTAATTTCTTTTCAATTTCAAATAATAATCAAACATCTGGACAATATCGACAACCAGATACATCACGTCGAGATTTAAATGAAAATCTTGATGAAGCTTTATTATTCGATGATCCATATGCTGATAATGGACTTCAAAATTCATCAGCTAGTCCATATAAAACATTGACACTAGCTATTACATAAATAATTCATTTTTTTTTGGCTTCGATACAATGACATATTTCTCATTTTTAATGTTGTACTAAGACAAAAAATTTTTGTGAAATATTTGACGTAATCTCACATGCTTTCTCATTTTTTATTCTATTTCATGGCTAATTCATATAAACTGAACACTGCTTTGTTTTGTTGCTTTATCTGTTCTCTTTCGGTTATTCTTCGTGTTTTTTATGTGTATTAAATACATATCTCATTTGAAATTGAAAATAAAAATTTTAATTGCTAATTATTTCAAGTGTGTTTGAAAGAAAGGCTAAGATTCGATTGTACTTAAAATAAAAACATTTTAGAGATTTATATTTAAATGATGTTTGATAAGTTATATAATGTTTTTGCCATCAACAGACATCATATGAATTGTACATAGGTTTGAATATGAAATTCAAAACAATCACTATTCTTCAGAGTTAATTCATAAACTCAGTAATTGATTTAATCGGTTAAGTACGGATGACACGAATTTATGTCCTCTGAATAGCTTTCATATATATGATCTATTGAGTATTCAACAAAATGAAATGTATAGATATTTGATTAGTTATATTTACTAATGATTATTGCTGATCTCAAAGAATATCTCGAGTAGAAAGAAGATCAAGGGGATGAGTTGTCGATCTTGAAAAAATATCGTTAATCTTCAGCGTTTTATTGTTTTTTTATTCATCAATGCTCAAAAAAATTCGATCAACTTTAACAAAAATCTGTGAATGAGAAACGTCTAGATGGAATGATTGCATTTCATTAATATTTTCAAATAGATGCTTTGACCTAGGAAGTCATGAGTAGAATATCTCCAACTCATACAAATCTTTTTTTTATTCTATCTTTCGGTTGTGCTACATTGACCTCATTTTCTCTATCTTCAGTTTTCTTTGATATGTTTTTTTTTTGAGAAATCTTCGAGCAAGACCTCACTCTTTCTTCTGTTGATATATGTTAATATAAAACTGTTTTATTCTTATTGTTCAAATGAAAGCCTGATTTGATTTGATCTATTCTATATTATTTGCATATTTTTCTTTTCATCAATCATGATTGCATTTAACTGAAAATCTAAGTAAAAAAAGTCATCGAACACACAATGAATTTATAAACTACCAGTGAGTTCGAAGTCAACTCATATGCAGCTTTTATTTTAATTTTAAATTGATACCGGTCACACATGCTCTATTTCAGTTCTTTTCATAATTGATGAAATTCTCTTCAAGAAACCTAATCAACATTGAATAAAGAGATTGATTTATAATAGAAATAACCATCTACTATGAAATATTGTTCATTGTATAGAATAACATCGAGTTAGAAAAATTGTCTTAATTTGAAGAAAAGAAAATTATTATTAACTCGAAAATGATATTCTGTATTGTAGAAATAAACTACTTACAATACATTTGAGTATTAATTGACTTTCTTTTATTTGAACAAACTTATTTGATTTAATAGATTCTAACTATTTTCTACTGTAATGATCTTTCATTATGTTTTCACTAATTGTACGTCGAACATGAATTATCATTTAAAGTATTTGTTTTTTTCGAAAAATATAAATTTCTTTTTTTTAGAATTTAAATCAAATAAATAAAAAATTTCAGTACTATTCATCATCGAATATGAGATTTTAATATATTATCAAAACAAAACAAAAAATACCAATATGTTAAAAAAAAAAAGAAAACAGCTGCAATATATTCAGTTTAGAGGATAAACACATCTTTGAGACGGTTTTGTATTTCACCAAAGTTTGAAATAAAATAAAAATGATCAATATATGTATATCATATATTCGATTTAGTAAGATGGTGTTGAATCAGCACTACGACTATTACTATCTGAACTTGATCTAGTATCTTGTTGACGGCAATATTCATCTATTTGTTGCAAAAGTTCATATTCAGTATGTTGTTTAGTATTATTTAATAGTTGTTGATAACAATTAAAATTTGTTTGATATGGTATAAATGATATATGTGAAGATTGTAAATTATTTTCTAATGTTTGATAAATTGAATTGATCATATTATTATTATTATTATCATTATTAGATGTTGATTGATTTATATTATCAATTTTTAATGAAGTTTGTGAATGTAAACTACGTTTTAATGCCATACGATGACGATTTTTAATGTGTTCTTGTTGTCTATATTCAGAATTTTTACGACGCATTTCAGCCATATGTGTACGATTTTGACGACGTTCATGTTCACGATATAATGGATTTTCTAAACGTTTTTTACGCATAGCACGTGCATTATTTTCACGTTCAATACGACGATATTCAGAATCAATTGAACCACGTAATTGAGACATATAAATAGCACGTTTTTCTTTTGATGTTAATTGTGTTTCTTGAATTTTTTCTTTAGGATTTGTATTCATTTACTGTTTTGAAGTTGTTATTATATCTATCAGAATATCATAGATAGGTTTTTTTTTTTATAAAGAATAGAAACAAAAATTATTACTACGATTATAAAATGACGAATGAAGTTTAATAAATCAATATAAAATAATTGTCATTGTTCTTTTTTTGGAAGACGAATTTTGATTATGTAATGTGTTAAAATATGTATAAAGCATTATCGTATGGACAATTAAAAACAAAAAAAATATTGAATAAAAAGTGTAACGTAGATATGTGAATAAAAAACGGAGCTAAGATACAATTGCACGTACTGTACTCTTTCAAGTGACTAATTTATTTGATTGATGATTGGATTTGATATAACAAAATAAAATGATTATAATTTTTTTTTCAAGTTTTCTTTGATAAATAAATCAAAAATATAAATATTACTTTAACAAAAAAATAATATTGAGAAAATGTTAAATAGCGTCATCTATTGATTATTTTCTAATAGAATATGACAATATATAAGGTTTTCAGTCAAAATTCATTTATGACATGAATTATTTGAAGTTTTGTTTTGTTTTTTTTACTTTAATATTCTTTTCAAAGTTCAACCAACAGATTCTCTCCAAGCCCATTGTTTTTGTCAATCATGCCAAGAAGCTCTGTTGCATACCAATCAAACAAGTTTATCGTTAAATGTTTTTCTATTTTGTTTTATTTTGCCTATTGATTGAAGCAAAAAGAAAAACGAGAAAAAGGAGGCATGTTTTTCTCGTAATTATTTCTTCTTGTTCTTGTCAATAAAACAGGATAACTAAGTTACTTAGATGGTATATACATCATTGTTTGTAGAAAACAACGACATACTATTTTAACTATAATATCATATAGAAATATATATATGTCGATATGACTTTTGCCTTACATTATGGTCGATAATGTTTCCCTCCTGTTCGAATCTAGTTTGTACTCTAAGGCAAAAAAAACGGAAACAATTATTTTTTCTTGTTACATAGAATAGTACAATCTATTTTCTGTTGTCGAAATCTAACAGACTTGATATAACGAGAAGAAAATAACTATAACAGCTATTGACTATTGAGAGGTAAGTACTATTGATTTTATTGCTAAATAATAAAAAAAAAAAGTAATAATCAAATACTCAAAAATAATGAAAAAGACTATGTTAGTTTTTTTTAGCCTTTTCTAAATTTTTATTTTGTGTTAGGATGATCAAATGATAGATTTTAGTTTTCTTGTAAGACGAAAAAAGTATATGTTATTATTGTAGAGATCAAAAGAAATTTGTTTTTCCCTGCGTTCTGTTTTTTTTTGTCTCCGTAAAGATCATTGCTAATACAATTACCGCTATTAATAATGTCTTGTAACAGGATGGAAGAATATGATTATCAGTCTTCGAGTGAGTATAATACATGCCTTTTGTTTCTTGTTATTGATTTTCATTTGAATTCCAAGCATGAATTCCTTTTCTGCTTTATTTATTTTAATGATATATTTTATGATGAAGTTGATTATGTTTTTATTTTTATCAATATTTTTAGATGGTAACCAATTAATTCATGAAGACCAATCTTATTTAAAATCAAAAACAAATTGTGATTTCAGTCATCTATCATACAATTTTATATCGAAATTAGTATTAGAACCTCGTCCGTCATTGTGTGCAAGAATGCCTAATATAAAAGTATTTGGTGGTTCATCTCATCCTGAATTAACAAAATTAATTTGTACTCGTCTTGGTTTAGAACCAGGAAGAGTTATAGCAAAAAGATTTAGTAATCGAGAAACAAGGTAAAACATATATTAAAAAACAAAACAATCTTTTTATTATTTTTTTTTTAACAAATTCAAAATTTATTAATTAAAGTGTTGAAATCAATGAATCTGTTCGTGGTGAAGATGTCTTCATTGTTCAAAGTGGCTGTGGAGAAATTAATGATAATTTAATGGAATTATTAATTATGATCAATGCATGTAAAATAGCATCAGCTTCTCGCGTTACTGCTGTCATTCCATGTTTTCCTTATGCAAGACAAGATCGAAAAGATAAAGTGAGAAAATTTATTTTGTCTCCTTTTTTTTTTGTTATATATATAAAACTAGAGAAGAAAAAGCAATTAATCGAGAAAAAAATGTTTTTTACTTTGATTACAATTAATAGAGTCGTGCACCAATTTCAGCTAAACTTGTAGCAAATATGTTGAGTGTTGCCGGTGCTGATCATATAATTACAATGGATTTACATGCATCTCAAATCCAAGTATTCAATTTTTTTCTATTAATATTATTTAAAAAAAAAATTTATTGTTTTCATAGGGTTTTTTCGATATTCCTGTTGATAATCTATTTGCTGAACCAGCGGTCATTCGTTGGATATCATTACATATTCCCGATTTCAAAAATGCAGTCATTGTCAGTCCTGATGCTGGAGGTGAGAAGATAAATCTGTGATTGAAAAAACTAAAATAAATTATTCTATGTTCTAATTTAAGGTGCTAAACGGTACATTTGAGATGAAATTTTTTTTCTTTCTCTCTCTTTGACAAATATTATTATTCCCACAGTGTAACATCCATTGCTGATCGATTGAATATTGATTTTGCACTTATTCATAAAGAACGAAAAAGAGCTAATGAAATTGATTCTATGGTTCTTGTTGGTGATGTTACGAAACGTATTGCTATTCTAGTTGATGATATGGCTGGTATGTTATATTAAAAATTTATGAAGTTATTTTTCTTTCTTTTTTAGATACATGTGGAACATTTGAATGTGCATCACAAAAGTAAAATCTAAGAGTTTTTATTTTTGATATTGATATATTCTTTTTTTTTCTATGATGATTTAATATAGATTATTAAGTGCAGGTGCAAGTAAAGTTTATGCTATATGTACTCATGGAATCTTTAGTGGACCAGCTATATCAAGAATAAATAATTCACCATTTGAAGCTGTTGTTGTTACAAATACGATTCCACAAGAAGAAAACATGAAAAATTCAAATAAAATTCAGGTAGAAAAAATAAATATTTCAATTAGGAATTCTTTTGAATATACATAAATTGTAATTTGAAAAGTATATATATTTTTTTTTTTCATTTCAATATTACACACGTTTATTCTTTTCTGTATATGACCTTTTCATAGGGTTGAAAGAATATTACGTCTAAAACTTTCTTTTTTTTTTTTTATTAGTCATTATTATTACGCAGTTAGAGAAAAAAATAGAAATGATATATATACTTATTTTGTCGTCACTCCTTTATTATTTATTGTATGTACAGAAATATATTTTGATAAAAGAAACTTCGCAATTATTTTTATAATAAGATTTTTGCTTTTATCAAAATTGAATATTCTGATGATATGAAATAATTTCATAATTAATAATAATAGATCTCATTACTATCATAATTGATGTATATAAAGTCCAGAAAACTGAATAAAATTTTGATTTATTTGACAATATTAAACCACTTATATTAGCATTATTGATACATAATAGAAAAAACTCTATTTAAATAGGATCTGCCTATGAAGAACAGATGTTTGCATAAGTGCATATCGATGTTAAAGGAAATGTCGTACATCTTTATTTTCATTGCCAAAGGTCCAATCAGTCCAACATTTTGCAGAACAGATCGACCTATGACAGGCCTACACTATTCTCAGTCAGTCTATATCCAGTATGCTATCTCGTCATCCTGGTCTGTTTGCCTGTCACAGGCCCATGTAGATCAGTAGACTTGATGATCTGGTTAGAGCTCTGTTATATATAGCGAGAAAGTTTAAGTTATGACTAATTGATATTATTTTGTGAGTGTATACATAAAACAATAACATCTTTCTACAATGAGGAATATCGTATCTGCTTGTGAGGTAATTTTAATTTTTTATAATATATATTCGAATTGAACATATTCATTGACTTGAATACAAAAAAAAAAAAGAAATTTTGTTTTATATATTAAGGTAATTGATGTATCAATGATGTTTTCGGAAGCGATTCGTCGGACACATAATGGTGAATCAGTTTCTTATCTATTTACTCAAATGCCATTGTAAAACCTACTCATATGTCAATGACAGCACACCAGTAAAGCAAAAAATCAACATAAAAAGAAGTTTAATCAATAAAGACAATGGATTGTGATAAAAACATTTGTTTTCTTTGTTTATTTTTGCTTATGTATGTTATCGAAGCACCCACACGCATGTTAGTAATTCAATAAAGTTACATTTTTCTTTTTGTTTTTTTTTGATGTCCTTTTGCCATTTCGTATGGTTGTTTTTTTTTCTTTTCTGCATATTATTCAAACCATTGTCAACTTTTCTCTAAACAAATAAAACAAGAAAACAAGAGGGGGTTATTCAACGAATGCTTAGACCTCTTCGTTCTATTCGAAGAAAACCGAAACCAAAAAAATCAATGAAAAAACAAATTTTATTAGATTTTTTAATGTATAGATAAAACAGAATGCTGACACTATCGACGTTCCATCAAATATTTCGGCAGGACTCCAAACTATTTCTTCTATCAGATGGGAATTCTGTTCACATTGTAGATTCTTTATTATTTTTAAAGAAAAACCTGATATGAATAAATGCGTATTAAAATATTTGGGATCATGCTGACAAATGTAATAAAATGATGTCTGTAATAATTAGAAAGTCTTATTTAGTCATGAATCGATAAATCAAAAATAAAAGAAACCCATGAATCAGGTCGTGTGGGTTGTTTATCATGTAGATAAATAACACAATCATTGACAAAATATTTATTCAAAAAAAAAACAGCGGAAAACAATAAAAAATGAAATAATAGTAGTAGAATAAAAAAAATTTTCGATTCAACACAAACATGTATCGTAACCTATGAAACAAGGTTAATATTTAATTTATCTTTCGGTGATCGATGACGACGCATCTATGATTTATGAACTTTATCATCATGTGATGCTGATGCAATCACTTGCAACGTATATTTTTACTATACATTTGCATAAAAGTAAATGTAAAAGAGTAGAAGCTGCCCACAATATCATTTTGTTATGGCACATGTTAGATTCACGTGTTAAGGAACAAAAAATGCGTAGTATAACGACACTATTATACATATACATATATATTTTGTCAGTAACTAAAGGATTCATATATATATCCTAAAAGTATATGATGACCATAATGATGACATGATGATTGATTGAAAAACTAATCATTCATTGATTTAATCTAAACTAATAAAAACATGGCTGAAGTCACTATCTTTTGGTTAAGCCGACAGTCAATAGATCGTAATGTGTCTGTGATGAGTTTCAGGATATGCTTCGACAGAGTTAAATGCGGATTAAAACCAGTTCATAATATCGTGGTAGGTTTTTATTTGTCAAGGATACAATTGCAATGACACATTGAAGGTCATTATATACATATATATATATTTATATATATGTGTGTGTATAAAGGTATTTGCCATTCCTTGTATAACATTATACACTCGTTTATCTATACATTTTTCGTCGATTCATTTAAACAAATTATACTCAAATGTTTGAAAAAGACGTTTCTTATTTATATTTAAATGACTTTTTAACTGTATCATCTGCAAATAAGAAAGAATTAGGTACAAATTTATCCCATCGTTTTGAATATCAACCAATGCGAACTCGTATTTGTCGAAGACCAAGTGAAACATTAGAAACTGGTCATCGAACTAAACATATACTATTATTTCGTGAAGAAGCTATCAAATGTAATAAACAATGGAAACGAAAACAACTATTCATGCAACAATCAAAAGAAAAAAATCAATTATTTGAAGAAAATCTTCGTAAAAAAATTCAAGAATTTATAAATGAACAATCACATTTAAAAAATCATCTTACAAAACTTCAATCATCTAAGACAAATTTCAAAACTGTAATCAATAACAATGTTGATACAGATTCTATTACTAATTTATTTTTAACGGATAAAGAAAAAAAACCATCATTATTTAATCAATATTCAGATGATTTTGATACTTTTAATTTGTCAATAACAAAAGCATTAAACTTTAATCATAATATCGATGATAATTCTATCAATTAAGGATAAAGTTTGTTCGAAGTTTGGTTTTATTTTGTTGTTCTACTATAATGTTGAAAATAAATTTAAAGTGATGTTGTTTAATGTACAGAATGAGAAATCTTTTTTTTTTCTACGAAAGAATGGCTCCAAATGCAAAGAATAGCATTATTAAATTTTATACCAAATGAAAGTTCATTGACAACGAATTTTAGAATAATAACCAACAACTCATAAAATGATCATGTGTTAGAGAATTACCGAAAGTTTGAAAATTTCAGGCATATACTTGAAGACTATGAGTAGTCAATCACAAAAAAACAAAAAATAGATCACAAGAAATGTTACGTATATCTGATATTGTAGATCTCTCTTTGTGAATCATTTCAATAGGACAGTGTTTTTTAAATATAATAAATAAATGACGGTGGTAAGTTAGAAATATCAAAACATCTGAGACAGTTCAATCTACCAGACTTATGATGTTTTCAGTATTTTGGTTTTAATACAATGAATTGTTTATCTAATTGAAAAAAGATTTTTATCAAAATGATCGACATAGAAAGTCTTATAAAACCTGACAGACGAAACATTTTCTCAAACCTATTTGTTTTTCGTGGTTAACTATTCCTAGTCCTTAATTATCAGTCTGAAATTTGAGAACTTTCGATATTTCACTAGTTCAGGTCAAGGAGTACGAGCCGGTTGACATAGAGAAAAAACTGGAATTCAATGGAACTTGGAAGTAAAATTCAGAATTGGAAAGTGTCCAACTTTTTCTGGTTACTTCCGGCTGGTTTCAGTGAAATTCAATTATTTTCAAAGTCCGAACTTATCGACCTAGAAGGTCATGATCATGCTATGAATTATTTGTTATACTATTGAATATTGTTTTCAATTAACTTTCGTTTAACACACAATTCAATGTTGTTATCGTTTGTATTTTGTACTATGCATCGCATAACAAATATTATTTCCGAGCCGGTATATTGATTTATTGTACAAAAATTAAAATTCAAAGTTAGTATTATTAATTTCAATTCTTCATGATATCATATTTTGGCTTTATATGATCTGATCAATGATTATTTTTGTATATATTTCATTTTATTTGAAAAACTCAGGAACATTTAGTTTCGACATTGTGTAGTCTACTTGAATAGCATGATAAGCATTTGCGATATCTTAATGACATCAGACAAAACGACAGTAAATAAAAACATGAATATCTAATTATTTTTTTTTTTCGTTTTTATTAAACAGATGTGTTAACTTGGATATGATTAATGTGAAAATATCCAAATTCTAAATTTAGTATTTTTATTGGTAATTCAACCTTTATATTTTATTATCTTGATTTTAACATAATTTTTTTCGTAAATATCAATTATTTCACATGTAGGTTTTTCTGTAACATTAATCACTGTGAGCAATAACTATCATTACACGATGTCACTGACGGGCCGACATAGTGGCGAAGTGTGGTGATTGTCACACCAAAAAAGTTTGATATAATCCAGCCCAAAAGTGTTATTGCCACATCAAATATTTTGGTTCTGGCCTGCCACTGCACGATGTACCTCGTTTCGTTATATTTTCAAGGTTATATACTTTAATGTAGTTTAAGATGCATATAAAGCGAATGTGTTAACACTATATAAGAAACAGATACTTCGTCAAATGTAGTTGATTTAATATGAAATATAAATTTATGTTTTTGTTTTGCTATCGACTCCCAATTGAGTAATTATGTTTTCTGTAAAATAAAAAAATCAGAAATGAGAGTAAGAATAAACTAACGACTTAGAATTTTTATTATTGAAAAGAATAGATTTTTTACAAAAAAATGCATGAATAAAATTGAAAGCTATCAAAATAATATCAAACATGATAAAAAGCTTTTATGGTTATTGTGAAACTCATTATGTTCATGAATTGTTTTTTTTTGTAGTTTTGTATATAACACCAAGAACGTGTACATCTTATTTCAAAAGTTTTTAAATGTCGATTGATCATGCTACACATAATATTTCACTAATTTTGTTCATTTTGAAGAATTTTGTTCTGGATTTCAAGATAATAAATAATAACAGAATTCGAGTTTAAAGACATTCACATACAGTCGCTCCTAAAATTATTCTACCAGGTTTATTTTCAATTTTGTTTCAGCACCGTAAATGCAATTCTTCACAAAATGAAATGTTTTTCAACTTTCTACGACGTTTTTTGGTTGAGATACGTTGGCCTTACGGAAGATGTAACAATGATGTATCTATAAGAAACTAGTAGAAGAAAACAACTTTTGTACCATTCGTAAGACTAATGTATCTCATTAAATAAAGTGTCATAGAGAACTAAAAGATGCTTCATTTTGTGTAAAATGATTTGTTCTATCATTTTAAGTAATCAAAACAAAATTCTATTGGTGAATTTCATGAGCTGAAAAACTTAGATTTTGGTGTTTCAGAGAATCTATCCTTAGGAAAACAACAATCGTTTTCATTTTTAAAAATCCTTATTGGATATAAGATTCTTATTGGCGTTGGCAACAGTGGAAAAGAATTGAAAATAAACCTTGTTTAGATAATTTTTGAAATCACTATAAGTTATTATATCAATAGTTTTGCTTGTATAAATATCTTTACATATAAATTTGTATGGTTAGCAAGATTGAATTTTTAGGTTGATTGTTTAAATTCTTTTGGTATAATACAAATCGGAATTTTCTTTATTTTATGTATATTTGCTTGATGGCGTTGTAAATAAATATTCATAACTTTTTTCTGTCTTTCAGTCATTTCTTCTTCATTACTTTCTTTTTCATGTTGTTTCATAGCCCATTCAAGTTCATCATATGTAGCTCCAATTTGAGCTTCATCTGTACGCATATCACCATAAAGACCATCAGTTGGTTGTGCATTAATTATAGATTGATCTATACCTAATTCACGAGCTAATGCACGAACTTCAGATTTAAGAAGATCACCAATCGGATTGATATCAACTCCACCATCCCCTAATTCATAAAATATTTCTATTCAATGAAAAATCATGTGAATAAAATTTTACCATATTTAGTAAAAAAACCAATACCATAATCTTCTACTTTATTTCCAGTACCAACTACAAGATATCCATTCAATTGAGCAAAATAATAAAGAGTAGCCTAAACAATGAAAATGAATAATGAAATTTTACCAGAAATATTTTCTTTTTTTTTTACCATTCGTATTCGTGATTGTAGATTAGCTAGTGCTAGTTCAGTTTTATCATTTGATTGTAATTTTGTACATGTTTCTTTAAATTGATTATAAGTTTTTGTTAAATCAATATTCATTGATTGTACATGATCATTACCATATTTGTTTTTTAACCATTCTACATGGATTGATTTACGTTTGTCTTTAGTTTTCGATAGATCAATTGGTAGTTCAAGAGCAAGTAAAGGTAATCCAGTGCGAGTACATAAAGTAGATACAACAGATGAATCAATACCATTTGAAATTCCAACTGTGAAACCTTTAAAACTTGCATTTTGTACTGCATAATCTTTTAACCATTTAACAATATGATCGATAATTCTGCCTGTTTGCATACTTATATTTGCTTAATATGTATCCTTGAATCTGCAAAAACAGATCAATAAATAGGACGCTTTTTTTATTCGTCAAACAAGAAGGCAAGAACGATAAAGTTTTTACATAGAAATCACAAGAACAAGAAATAAATGAAAAAAATAATACGTTTATATTTTCTCTTTATAATCAATCAGAATGAAAATTTTAATATTTATATACCAACACAAATGACTTGTATAAATTTCTAACATCCTTTTATTGTATACTTAGTGTGTTTAGTTATTCATTTTAAACATTCAATAAGATTGTTTGATGCAATTGATAGAGATAGATTTCTTTGCTGTTATTAACATACTTACTTTAACGTAAGAAAATAAATCGAGTCATTATTATTACAGATAGCGACAACATTCAATAATAATAAAAAAACTGAATGGTTGCTCTTTTAGACTCCTGAATAACTACTCATCATACACTCACGTGTAGAGGACACTACTTATAGAAGAGAGGCGTGCACAGGGTGCCCGAGCACCCCCTTGATCAAAAAAACGCCTGGAGGAGAGTACAGGTAAAATATCTTTTTTGAGAAATAAAAATTTGTTTTGCTGCTGGTGTTCACATCCCATAATGAGTCGGCACCCTCTTGAAAAATTTCTGGCTACGTCACTGTTATACAATAGAAAACAATGATTATGATTGACAAAAGCACAGGTCGTAACAAAAGTAACTATCATGAGGAGCAAAAGAGGAAGGACAAAACGAAAAAAGAAAAAGGAGAAAGGTCTGAAATAAGTGATTGAATGAGTGATATTATTGTGGTGACGCTTGCCATTCGATTAATATCTATGACGCTTTTATGACTGAACAACAAGTGTCATCATACTTCATTTAATCTAGAATATGTGATGTCAATGATAACAGGAAGATATATTTATATAACTTATGAACATATGAACGTTCAAGATCAGAAAGAAGAAAGAATACCCCAGTCTTTCGACTATCTTACAGTATAGGGTGCTATCAAGCGACAAGTTTGATAGTCTGATATCTTTTCTATAGCTTTGACTAGTTGTAGTTCTGAACAGAGGACCAACCTGACGCAGAATTCTTACGCTTTATTGCTTAAACCAGCGATGGAACCGATACCGGTCTGGATTTTGAATGGACCGATCTACCGGTATTTACCGGTTTAAGCCGATCTGACAGATCTGAGCCGGTGGACACTGGCCTATATCAGTCTATATTTTTCACTTTCCTGCTCTATGATGGTATTCAGATGAAAAGCAACTGATACCAAGGCTAGCCCCACTGATCACACAGGATTTTATTTAACAAACAGTTTCTAGAATGCCCATCAATGAGACTATTGTTATCAACGGTGAAACGTTATGCCAGTATGCGTGAAAGTATGAAGGTAGCCCACAAGAGAGTTCACTCTAAAACAAGGTTTCATTTTAAGCCTCAGCCTGTTGTCTATAGACCGATATTTTGTCGGTAGCAGAGGCGACGGAGCTATGGGGACTGATTTAACGGCTTTGTCGACGTAATATTTGAAGAGCAAGCAAAATTTACTAGTTATTCGAATATTATATAGTCATGTTGAGCCTACCCAAACTTCATAGGCTCCACCGCCTCTAGTCGGTAGACCAGATTTTTTCTGATAAACTGACGTATCATCAGCATCCTGTTTACTACCGGTATACCGATCGGTCCGATCCGATCTGAAATATTCGAATCGGTACCGTTACCGATCCAAAAAAAGTAGACCGATTCCATCTATGGCTTAAACTCTCCATACACACAATTTCATCACAAAAAAAGGTGTATGTCATAACGTGATCAGCATACTATAGAACAAATAATCCAAGACACACAACCATTAGTTACTTGCCAAGAGAAATTCCATAGCTGGTGACATGGACGCTTTAATACAGTACCCTGTGAATACGTGTCGAACAACGTTGCTCCTCAACAAAGGTGTATATAGTCAAGATTAATAGTGTACTTGTGACAGAAGTCACTTAGTAAAACTTATCAACATTCTCAACACCGCCATGACAGAGTTGCCAGATTGTTCGATACATATCCATAAGGTACCGTATGCAAACGTCAGTAACATCAGTCATAGAATGACCCTGAAAAACTCACTAACGACTATTTGTCTCGGATTACTTGTCAGATAGTTTGCTGACTACGACATAACATACATCTACTTTTGTGGTTAGTTAGTGTGTATTGGAAGCTCAAGCAGTTGAACACAAGAGCTCTGCATCAAGCCGACTTTTGTTTCAGAGCTACAGCTAGTCATAGTTGTAGGAAAGCTATCGGACCATTGAATCTACAGATAGACACAGATATTTTTTTTTCCTTCTTCTACCGTTACAAAAACAAAATAGTTTACAGACAATCGTAAATAAAAATGAATTACTTGCCATGTTATTTTATTTCGATTTTTCATAAGCTGACTAAAGATATCTTTCACAAATTCATGAGAAGATTTTGAGATACAGAGATCTTCATTGAATATTCGTACATATTGAAAGAAAGTTAGACATAAAGACTTTATTATCACAAAACACTTGAACTATTATAATCATTAGCGCATAGTGACTCTTGTTATAGAACATGAAAAAGAATTAGCGTTCAGATATATAAGATTTTACACTATTGACAGCACTATTTGTCGGTATTTCAGCAATCTATACTATTACTCTTGAAATTAATTCTTCTCTTCATATTTATTTCGACGAATTCCGTTTATTGTCCACATAACTTGCTGAAGCATTCTCGTTTGTTTTTATCATCATATTAGTATCATGAGATCATTGATTTTCTATATTTCAGAGAAAGAAGACACTTTACTTTTAGTTATCATAGCAATACAGACTACATATTCATGTCATGAAATTTCACACAAGATTAAATAAACACTAGTATAACCTAATTTTATTATCTCGTTATCTGATTTACATATTTCATTTTCAATGTTTTATTCTATTTTAATATCATAACTGAAAAAAAAAACATTGGTTTTGATTGAAATTAAATATAAGATTATTTTATTTGTAAAATATAAGATCATATATATTAAATTGATTTAGATAATTTATTTTCTATACTAAAACTATTAAAAAGAAAAAAATCAAAGGAAAACTCAATTTCCTTTCCATTGCGGTTTTCGTTTCTCATTGAATGCTCGAATACCTTCATGACGATCTTCTGTATCAATTAATTGTTCATAATATTTCAACTCAATTGCTTTAGCTTCATCAGTCTGTTTACCCCATCCTTCATCAATGGCTTGTTTTATTGCTCGTGTAGCTAATGGAGCATTGGCAGCAATGGTTGTTGCTAGTTCAATTCCTTTATTTAATGTTTCATTTTCATTAGTTAGTTTTTGAACAATACCCATATCATAAGCTTCTTGAGCAGTTAATCGTCGACCAGTGATAGCAATTTGTTTAGCTCGAGCGGGACCAATAAGACGAGCAAGTAATTGAGTTCCACCACCACCAGGCATAATACCACGGGTTACTTCAGGTAATCCAAATACTGCTGAACGAGATGCAATAATCATATCACAATTAAGAGCTAATTCAAAACCACCAGCTAG